TCAGGCATCGCGGCGGACACCTGCGGCCCGTTGGGCTTCTGGTGCGTGGCGGCGGCCGCGGGGGCGGCGCGCTGCCGAGGTGGCAGTCGGCGGCGGCGCGGGCGGACGGTGAGGGGAAAGGGGGGGAGGTCTCGGTGGAGGAGAGCTGGGCTCGGCCCCGCCGGCCTCGGAGCGGGCCCCGCCGCGGCGGCGGCCGGAGGGAGCGCGGTTTGTGCTGCTGGGCGATGCGGTGTGACGGGGCGGGGGGGGAACGGTCGTGTGGCCGGCTTAGTGTGTGTGAACCGCGTCGCCGGAGTAACCGGCGTAGCGACGAGCGGGTGTTTTGAGTAGTTTAGCGTGGGTTTGTGTTTGCACGGACAGTAGTTTCTGGAAAAGTCAGTCTGTCAATGCTTTTAGCGCAGGCTGCTGTAGTGTCACTGAAGGGCAGAAGTGGTATGTAGGTGCGTGCACCCCCAGCACCGCTGCCGCCGGGCCTGAGGAGCGCTGCGTTGTACTCCCGTAAAGTAAGGCTACGTGTCCTGACCCATTTCAGTAGCCCTGTAGGCACGGCACACGGCATTTAGTTGTCGTGCCCGATAAACGTGTCTTCCCCGTGGGAGAAATGCAACAGCGGAAAGAAGATGGTTACGTCTGACACGTATAACAGTCACAACGCAGTTTGCAGTATTTCAATTTGGAGATTTTGCAGTGACAGAACTGTTGCTGTTCTGTGAATTTTGCGTGTTTGTTATGGTGTGAGTGCTTTCTGTGTGTTACTTGAGAGCTACTTCACATTCCACGTTATGTAGTTCTTGTTCTGACTTTACAATCACATTTACCGTTAAATAATGAATAAGTGTGTTTGAATTGCATACCAAAATTGCATCACGGCATTGTGATTTTACCCCCTTCTATAACGTGATGGTAACACCTTCTTTCACACTTTTGTGATCTTTTTTGTCCAATGACACTTCAGCTGATATGCTGTTACATTTCACGTAGAGAATTTCATGGTTTTGGAAGTGTATAATGCTATTTTTTAAAATCTTATAAACACTGTGTCCTGCCAAAATCTTGCTGTTAGTTATAGAAAGAAACGTATAATCATTTGCCTTATTGCTGAGATGCTTCCATTTCAGATAGTTAAACAAATTTGTTCAACAGTAAAGAAACCAAGTGTAATTTTCCAGATTCTTTTCAGATCACTTATGACTGCTAGAAGGAGTTGTTGTTTTTTTTCTGTCAGTGAAGTAAGTGGCAAGATCTGTATGTCTCCCTTTTTATCTCCGAGTTCTTCTTTAGATATGTCATTGTAGCTACATAGTTACTGAGATACCATACTCAGTTATTCAAATGTGACATACAGCTTTGTCTTTTTAAGAGAAGGAAACATTTGCTGCATTTGGAAACTGTTTGGACGTTCCTGGTGATAGTGTGCTATGCCTTGTGTAAGCATGCACTGGACATAGGAAGTGACTGCTGTATTTTTTCTCTTGCAGGTTTGCAGGAACCTTATGCTAATACATAAAATAACAGAATAAAAATGACATTAAGGAAAGGTATGTGTATATGTGTGTGTCTAATGTTTTTAAAATCTCTTTTGTACTTTTCTGAGTTTCCCAATCTTTCTCTGGTTATATTGATAAACTTTTTTCTTCTAAATTTTCAGTGAACATTTCCATCCTTGTAGTGGCTGTTGTCATATTTTTGCTAGTTCTTCATCATAACTTCCTAGGCCTCAGTGACTTCTTGAAACGGGAATTGTCAGGTACGTTGGGTTTTATTTTAATTTAAATTTTCTTTTCTTTTTTTTTTTTTTTTTTTTTAAGGTTGGCGGGAAAGCACATGCTCTGGCCAGGCAGAAACCACCACATTGCTGAAATAACTTATATGATAATGATCAATCATTTGTATAACAAGATATGATTTTTGTACTCTCTTATGAGTAGATCTTTTCCTGCTCTCATACCCAAGAAACTTCAGCTTGGTGGGCTTGTCTGTTCTTGCTGTCCTGTGACTTTTCTCAGCCAGGAAGCCAGGCAAGATAGCAGTAAGGGTTCCTTCTGGCTTTAAAAGTCATAAAGTTATGATTCATCTTACTTAGCAAAGCGATTTCATTTTCCAGAGTCCCCTTCTAAGAACTGCATGTGGTCCCACAGAGCCTCTCCATGTCCCCATTAACTGCCAAGCCCTAGTTTGCCACTCCTGGGAACTGTTGCTTCTGGGTAGCAGTTGTACAGGTGCTTCCCAACAGAGGTAGAATAAGCCTGACAGGCCTTAACTAGGAATGAGTTGAAGTCAAAGCTGTTGAGCTCTGTCATTAGGAAGTGGCAAACAGAGCAGAAGCTGAGCTTTGTGAACAGCAGACCACTGCCTGTAAACTGCCAAGTCCCTGTTTGCTATGTTCCTCAAATTCCCTAAAATTATCTAATATGTAATAGTCTACATCATCTGAAAGGTACCAATGCTGTGATAAAAAGTCCGGGTAGGGGTCAATTTGCCAGCTTTTACAGGTGATGTGGTCTAGTAATAAATTTCAATGCTGACCTCCCATTTTCCTATCTGTGCACTGTGAGTATAAATTCTTGTAGTTTCAGCTTAATATAGTGTGATCTGTGATCCCTGAATAAACATGAGCTGTACTTAATGCCTTGTTCTTTGGCGGGAAAAAATTCGCAACAGTGACTTTAATTTAGAATTTTTGTTTTCTTCATTGGTTCCTACCTAAGAGGAAAAGAAAAGATAAGAAAAAGAACGAAGGGTGATGTGGAGAAGACTAGGAAGGTGGTTAGGGTAAACAGGAGGGGGAGGTCAGTGAGATTATAGACATGGCAGGGGGGACCAAGGGTAAGTGCAGCTTACTGTAGTTTAAGCCTCATTTTAGTACCTTGTTGTGCTGTGTGTGAATATGTATGGTTAAATGCATGTAGTTTATTTGTAAGTGTGATGTTTTCCTATTCATTAACATCTCAGATTCTCAAGAGCAGGTGCTCTATTTTAAGTGTTTGATACTGGCACGCTGTAATCTACACCTCAGCTCGGACATCCAAGTCCTTGTGTAGTAGAAATAATTGAAGGTGTTAGGAATTTTAGTGTGGTAGTTATGTCTGTGTTTCATTTGCATAAACCAAGTATGTGATGCCATTTGTACTCCACAGATTCAAATCCATTAGGACTTCAGCCTATAGATTTCATACCTGCGGTTCCCCAGAGGCTGGCAGATGAAAGGAATGATAAGGAGATTTCTGTGGTCATTGCAGCATCAGATGAGAGGCTTGGGGGTGCAATTGCAGCCATGAACAGTATTTACCGTCACACCAAATCCAACGTGGTTTTCTATATTGTTACTTTGAATGATACTGTGGATCACTTGAGGTAATGATCTTTTCATTAGATTCCCACAATACTGTAAAACTTAAGTATCTCTGAGAAGAGGAGGAGCTGACTCTCCCTGGAACTGCACTCCTCTAAATTGCAGTCCTATCTGCTGCTGCTTATTGCAGCTTTTTGACAAGGCTGCTGTGGAGAGCCCTACAGTCATTCCTTCTGGTAATGTTTCAGGGATGGAAAAGAGCCATCTTTTCCAGCGGGGTTATATCCAACCCGTGGGGTTGGAGTTCATTGGGGGAGGGGGGGGGGGGTGTTGTAAAAAGTACTTCCTACATTTCATCTAAGCAATTCAAATGCTGGCAATGAGGTTTCTCCGTTTTTCTAGATTGTTCTTTGATCCTTTTATTTTTACCCACATCCATTCACACTGATACTTTTTGTGAAGGATCTGTGATAACAGGACCACATACTTCTAATAAAATAAGAAGCAACCTTGTACCTTTCATGTGTCACAGCTGTGCAGTATGCTGATGGTGGGCATACCCCTGCAGTCATACAGGACACCACCAACATCAGCCATAGATTATATTCTACATGTATGTTTGTTGGATAGGGAAGCGAGTGGCCAGATCAAGGTCTGTGTCATTGGCAATCGGATCTCTTACTTTTCATTTGATTTTGTTTTATTTAACAAGATCTGTGCCTTTCTCCTGTTTGCAGGCTGTGGCTAAGTAACACTGCTCTGAAAAATTTGAGATACCGAATTTTGGATTTTGACCCTCGTGTCTTAGAAGGGAAAGTACAAGTGGATCCTCAAAAGGCAGACACCTTAAAACCAGTGAGGATGATGTCGATTACTTTTTGCAATTATTAGTTAGTAACAATATATTTTGATATTGGCTTTTGAAGACAACTCGAGATCAAAACCAAATCTGTTAACATAGAAGCAATCTTTTATAATCAAATTCCTAAACTTCAGTAAGTTTCCAGATAGTGAGAGATGGATTTGAGTATCTACATATGCATGCCTAGTATCATTTTTTGCTGCTAGCTACAGTGAAACACAGCAGCTTGCATGTCAAGCATGCCAACACATCCGAGATGCTACAGATATGTGTGGAGAAATAAAAAATTCTAATATAGACCAGTTTAAAGTTAGTTTATCAATGCACAAATTCATAGGAAACCAGGAATTGATGGAACCTGTTTATTTTAAATAACTTCTAGGATATTGCTGCCTACCTTACTTCATTGATAGAAGTTGTCTTGGACCTTAGTGCCATAGATAATTGCCAGGAGTATCAGTCAATTTCACATCTATTTGGACAATTTTTCATTTAATTCTTCACTTCTTTTGCTTTCTTGTTTTCACAGTTAACCTTTGCAAGATTCTACTTGCCCAATTTGGTACCTCATGCAGAGAAGGCCATCTATGTGGATGATGATATAATAGTGCAAGGTATGGGACCCTTTCTTAGCTTTTTCCCCCTGGCCTTATGCTGAGGTCAGTATGCCATTTCTGACAGTAACCAAACACTTCTATTTCACAGAAAGATATAGAAACTTTGTAAATATGAATAAGTTGGATTAAACTGAGTGGTTTTTTTCTGCTGTAACAATGGACTGAACAAAAAGTCACTCAGTGCTTCAACAGGATTACTTTTAATTTTTCTGTGCATACTTCCATTTTCCAGATGATATTCTTGAACTTTACAACACTCCATTGAAACCTGGACATGCAGCTGCATTTTCAGATGATTGTGACTCAACCACTAATAAAGTTGCTGTCCGTGGGGCAGGCAATCAGGTTAGTTTTATTCTGATTCAATGGTAACAATACTAGAGATCCCAGGCTTTGGAAACAAGCACTTTTATTTTTTAATGTTCTTGCAGTTTGACTTCCAAATGCAGTGAACCTAAAGGTGTGACTGTCCCTACCCAAAACAATTTACTCTGATGTTTGTGTTACAAATGACGCTTGCAGTTTCTGTTTAGGCAAGGTAAAAGCACTTAAAGTTTTTGCTGTGCTTTACAATGAGGGCAATTCCCAGTGTGGAACAGCAGGAGGTCTTAGAACATTAGAGGGAGAATTTTTCATTTGTGAGTGTATAAAAAGTGCTTTTCTGGGAGTGGTACCATATTAATAATACGGTATTACGGAGACCATGCAGCATTCCTTAAAATATGTGGTTTATATAACCATATTTTTTAAATGTAGACCTCTTAAGCTTTCTTTCTCTCATTTTGAAGGAAGGTATTTGCTTTAACAACTTCAAGTTATGCTTGTCTGTTGGAAGTTGTGCGAAATTTTTCTTTAAATAGTAATTTGACCATATTTTAAGCTAATTTCTACTCTCTTTTTTTTTTCCCCAGTATAATTATATTGGGTTTCTGGATTACAAAAAAGAAACCATCCGAAAGCTTGCCATGAAAGCCAACACCTGCTCTTTCAATCCAGGAGTTTTTGTTGCCAATTTGACAGAATGGAAATTGCAGAACATCACTAAGCAATTGGAGAAGTGGATGGCACTTAATGTAGCGTAAGTACCCCTAAGCTGGGGGTGACAGTGGGTCAGGGGTTGGGTTATGGTGATGGCATTTAACTGTTAAATGAAAGGCTGTATGTGTATCTGTGGATTCCTGTCATGCAGCTGCAAGTGACAAATCAACTGATTTAGGGCCACACAAGCATCCTTTCCCAACTTTTTTTCATCTTCTCTTCCAGAGAGGAACTTTACAGTAGGACTCTGGCTGGCAGCATCACGACACCTCCACTGCTAATTGTATTTTACAAGCAACATTCCAGCATTGATCCCATGTGGAATGTCCGTCATCTCGGTATGTATGAAACATCTGTCACACTGTTCCCCCAGTGTGCTTTTCCAGGTCTGTAGCTGGACACCTAGTTGATGATGCAGCAAATGGATCTTTTCTTCCCCTATTTTATACCTTGTTCTTTAAGAAACACTGCTTTGCAACACCATCTTAGGGCTTGTGGGCCTGATCCTTCATGTTCTTTTTTTGAACTGCCAGGGGAATAGCTCTTGAATTGAATTACTCTCAAATTACTTCTCATTTTCCTCTTCTTTTTCCACATATATATTGTATCTGAAGGTGTTTCTTCCAAGACTGTTGAGAAAAACAGACATTTGTATCTGTTCTGCTAATGGTGAAACCCCAGTGCTGGGAGAGGTTTCTTAGGTTTTGTTTCCAATGAACAATTCATAGGCTGCTGAATACATCTGGGTATTAAGGGGGTTTTAAAGATCTTGGAAGTTAAGGCAGTACATAAAATAGATACCGAGACAAATCAAAGTGGCATTCAGCTGCACCTGATTATGTTTTTCATTTTGCCCTGATTTCTGCCTCCCATATCACCTCCTTTCTCCATAAATGACAACATTTCCTTTGTTGAAATCCTTTGTTTTGAAGTTAAAATGTTGCACGTTGGTGTTTCTGCTGCCTTTATTTCAGGCACTAATGCTTCTTTTTCAATAAAAGGATCTAGTGCTGGAAAAAGGTACTCTCCTCAGTTTGTGAAAGCTGCCAAGCTGCTCCATTGGAATGGACATTTCAAACCATGGGGAAGAACAGCTTCATATGCTGAAGTCTGGGAGAAGTGGTATGTCCCTGACCCTACAGGCAAGTTCAGCCTGCTCCGCAGACATTCAGAAGCCTATGAAGCAAAGTAGAGTCAATTTTAATAACTGATGGCATTTTCTCAGGAAAATTCTGGAGCCAAGCAGAACTTTTTTTTTTTGCCAACTTGTATTAGAGAGCAGTCCTTGCCATCTGGAGCACAAGGTGACGCACTTATTCAGGTGCGGTTCTGAAATGCACGGTTCAAAAGGAGACTCGCTTCACTTGTGTGACAGAAAATGCTACTCCAGCAACACTATAGAAAGCAAGGGAGGATCTCCACAAACTAGCACTTTTGTTAGTTCATTTCTGTCTATTGCACATTCTTCTGCTCTTTACTACAAGTCTTCTACAGGAGGATCACTTTGTCAGCTACAGAAAGGAACAGTGTCTAAGAACAAGCTGCAACTTCAGCTGGTGCTTGCACCACACAGATCTTGCACAGCAATGTACTGTAATGAAGAGCTGCTTGGGTTTCTTCTGTTTTGGTTGGGTTTTTTTTGTTTGTTTCCTTATCCTGTGAAGTAGTTTCCTCAACAACCCTTTCTTGCATGAAATCTCCCCCCAACCATTTCTGTGTAAGTCTTTCTTGCAGAATTCTGCAAAATTGAATCTTGTTTTTTTGAAAGATGAATTTTTCAAGTATTATTTCACTATGCAAAGTGGTTTTAACTGCCAGTGAACACTAAAACATTTTTTGTAAAGTGGTGGAGAAAACTTTGTTCAAAAATAAAAGCTAATTTTAACATCGTTGACTCAAACCTCAGGTAAATGGCAATCTGATTCTAGTCTTGATCTGATATATGAAGTGCATTTCCTTTGTACTTAAATACAGCAGCAAGTGTTTGAAACTGAAGTCAATTGATCTCGTCTTTGCGAAAGCAATCTCATTCTAAAATTGCACAAAACGTTTATTTTGGGAATCGGTCTGTATGAATTACAGATTAATTTTGTTATTATTAAGTTCCTCATAGCTCTCTCAAGTGAGCATGGCTCTGCTATAGAAGTTTTTCCCAGTGTGCCTTTCCCAGTCTGGCCCTTTAAACTCTCACCAAGCAAGATTCCTGTGCCCTTTTGCAGCTGGCTGCCCATCGTCTTTTCTATAGGTAAGTTGTTTTTTTTCATAGTTGTAGTGTTAAGTTTGAGTAGTGGCTATTATTAGCTGATCTATCCTGGCAGCTACTGTGCCAACCATTCCATTTAATACAGGTTTGAACTCAAGTTGTCATTTTTATTCAATAATACTGCTTGTGAACAATCTTCAGTATAAGGTGATTAGACAAAAGGCTTTGTGTTAATGCAGTGACAGGCTGAGTGTTGCATGGTCTGAGATACAGGCCAGCAGAGAGGGAAGGGGCTCGTTCATGAGTGTAAGTATGGTTTTAGGACTGCTTTGTAATTTAAAAGGATTTCCAACTGCTTGACTCATTGCAGTCGCTGTCTATAGTTCTGCTTCTGTCATGGATGGTGATCTGTGGTTTGTTGCCTATTGTTTCTTTTTCTGGGTTTTGATGAACAAGAACCATTCTTATCCTTGAAGTGGTTAGAAGTAATGAAATAAGTTCAGTTACCAATCTTTGAAAAATTGTACTAGATCACCTGACACCAACTGAATTCTCGTGACCAGGCTGTATTTTAGGAGGCCTAAATAAACTGCATGTGTCTGTGCTGCACTTGATACTTTTTTAAGCTACCTAGGAAGACTGTGCCTCAACATCCATTTAGGGAAAATACAACTATCTATTAGAGAATGCAGCAATCAGACCTTTAAGTTAATAGGAAGAAAACAGATGCGTAGGAGGAAGATGCTTGGTGTCAGGTGTTTATTCTAAATTCTTAATTCATTGAGCAGCTGCAGGGCCTCTTGGTAATTCTCTTGCTACCCCAGTTCTGCTATAGGCTGAGTGCACTAACACGACCTTATCGCACAGGGCAACATTTTGCTTTACAATTACCAGTTGTTGCCTTGTATAATAGATGTCATCAGGAAATATGTCTTTTATTCTAAAGCACTCTAAGAACAAGAAGCTTGTTCCCCAGTAAAGGCAGATTACCAATACCAGAACCTAGTTACCTTTCCCAATGAAGGTTCTGAACATAGAAAGCAGTACTTAGATAAAATACCTTATGTCTAGCTGAAGCACATAGCATGTTCTAGCCAACCTTTACATATGAAAGTTCTACAAGTTTTGCAAAAGTATACTGAAAAGTTACTGACTTAAGTCATACTCTAGGGGTACACTCTCTGTAATCCTCTAGGAAAAAACAATTAAATTTTATGAAGGGAGGATGAAAACTTACCTTGAAATTCAATTGCTTGAACATGACTAGAATTAAACATTTACCATTGTTTTTCAAAGAAAAAGACAAAGGGTTTATCCTTTTGAAACATCTTTTTATAAGGCAAAGTGAACAAACTAACACAGTCCATTAGGAATTTTTTAAAATAGGCTTTAACACAGGACATAAAGTTTAGGACTTAAAGCTGAATACAGTCTGTTTCCTAGACTTGTATAAAATCTGGAACAATCAAGGGAGATACACTATTATATACATTATTTGACACAGCAATAATTGTGAATCTTTGCAGCAGCTCTGGTATGCAGCATTCCTCCAACTTCTGCTGCAACACAAGTCTTCGTGACTGTTCTGAAAGCCAGTAATAAGTCTCCAAACAGTGTCTTCAAACATAATTCATTACACATAGTCTGTATTAAAATCATAGGCATCATCTTCATCTGCTGTCTTATCCAAGCTGAGTGATAGTGAATTGGAATGTTCACTTTCTGAGAAGAGAAAATCATGTGTTAGTGAAACCAATGCAAGTGCTGGAGTACCAGAGACTATCCTTCAAGCCAGGGTTTTTAATACAGACCTGCTATCTGTTTTTCTGAATTTGTAGGGCTTGTTTGTTGTTTTCCAAGCTTTGCTTTCCTGGTGACCTGAACTTTGGTTTCCTACAAGTCAGAGAGGTCAGAGATATGTGTTTATGCAGGTATTGCTAATGAAGTCTCCCATGCAAATGAAACCTAGCAGAGACTGATGGTAGAGGGGATGTCCCCTTGTATAGTTGGTCAGGAACACGCTACCTTAGAACTAACTTAGAACAATGTTGTTTCCTTAACTAAACAAAAAGCCCAACCCTTATGTCCAGGAGAAAAGTTTTTTGATTACTATTGGTGGCTCCACAGTGCCTACACATTCTCAGTTTACAGCAGGATACTGACTGGGTACTTGGTGTCAGGATCTAAACAGGCAGAAGCCTAATGAAACCCTGATTTACCTCTTTGACATCTTTTTCTTCTTCCACATCATCTTGATCATCCTCACTTTCTGTGAAATCCTCCTCTTCTTCTTCTTCTTCCCCCTCCTTGCCTGTTTCCAAGTTTTCCCACTCTGATGCTTCCTCTATCACTTTATTTTCCTCTATTGTCCCATCTGCCATACCAGGTGACTGGAAAATGATGCTGCTTGCTGGACTGGGGTATTTTAAAGCTGGGAAAAAATAGGAAGTGTCAGTTAAGTCACTGTTAGACAGCACCAGATGTAATGCCTACCCCCTGAGAGGACAGCCATTTTAGGTCAGGGCTAAGAAAAGACAGTCTTGCCCCCTCCCTTCCACAAGACAGCACTCCCACATAAGCAGGTAGAACAAAGGACAATTCCCTGAGAATAGCTTTCCCTGAGGCATCTACAGAAGACTGCTAGGAGCTGAAAGACTTGGATTTGAGTATAGATTGTACTGAGTAAAATGTATTTTGTTGGCCTAATGAGCCAGTGTTTATGTGCTCTTCAACATTCTTTTCCCCTGTTTCCTACTGAGAAGGGTTAGGTGAGATGAGCAGAAACTAAGAACTAGCAGGGGTAATTTGTGTTAAGACAGCACACAGATGCACTGTTCTCTTGCATCAGAATCCATTCCGTTCTTAAAAGGTTCATATTCACTGCATATTGGCAAAGCTATCATATAAACCCCAGGAGGACTTCCATTCAAAATCTCCCATTAGAACTACTACTACCACTCTTAATGGTAGCAGTGTGTTACAGTAACAGTCCTACCTTGAACAGTGGTGGTGTTTTCTTCTTCTAGGTTCTTTAAATTCCAACACTCCTGCATTTCAGCTATTTTGTCTTCTGTAAGATATGGTGGCGGTCTCTGAGATACTGGAGGTTGTGAGTGGTAGCTTATTTTAGCTCTGGGAAAATAAAATATCAGCATTAAAAAACAACCAAAGATAACATAGTTAAATCACTGTATTTAAAAATAAAACCCAGAGCACAAACCTCTCAAAGTCCTCAACCTAACTACTCATTTATTATTGTCTGCTTAACAGCAGTTAAATAGCTCTCTAAATTTGACTCTGAAGTTGTCAATAACACTGTTAAGTAGATAGCCCACTCCTGAGAGGAAAAAGAAATGGCATACTTTGTCACCACAAATCACTTGCCTGTAAAATCATGAGCTGCAAAAGCAGCTGAACCACTTGAGCAAGGGAAATAGTCACACTCAATTACCGATTCTGAGTTACGTTTATTCCCACCCCCAGAATATAGGAACCACTATAAATTTCCACAGAAAATTTACCATGTCCTTTCCTGTCTGTGTAAGAGGACTACATGGACTCAGTATTTGAGAGGAAGGCAAATTCCCCTAACAGAGTTATAGCAGAAGTCAGCAAACTGGCTATGGAGTAACATGCAACATGCTCTGACCCTTTCCATATGCCCTTTACTACTTTAGAAAATTATCCATGGTTGGCATTCTCTAAATCTGTTAGCCAATCCAGCTCTCTTTACCAAAGTAAAACGTGAGAAAGCAAGAAAAGGAAAAAAGAAAAAAAAAAACCCAGTCTCTCCTTTCTAAGTACTTCACAGGACTCAGGACTTCTGCTGTGCTGGATTAACAGTGTGAAAAAGGTGAGCAGCATAAAGCAAAATTCATAGCATACCTACCCTGTCCAGTCACAAAGTAGTAATTTAGCTATATTCTCCATGTCAGGAACACCTCCCTTTTTCAGCATACCCCTTTTCTGAGCAAGTAAAGTCAAAAACTCTTCAGTGTTCCTGAAATCTGGGATACTATAGTGCATCATTACCTAGTGCAAAAGAAAATGGTAGATTCAGAAAGAGATACCCACTTTTATCTTAGTTTTAGGAATAAAAGAGCAAATCAAATTGGATTACAATGAGGATGAACAACTATGTGAAAAGCTGTTTTTCTCTTGCCTGTGGGAGTACACATTACAAAGCAAAGTGTCTACTTCATCAACAAATTCATCTGCCATTCACCCATACTAGTGGGTGGACAGAGACAGCACAGTGGTTAGTGAAAACACAGTTATCACAGAACTGAATAGGGATCAGGCTTAAGTTAATTACTTGAAACTAGAGTGAAATCAGAGTTGGATCTGAGGTCTTCACTGTAATAATAGGAAGCAGTGAGAATATCTTCATTTTTCACTCTGTGATACTGTAATGAAGTCTTAAAAGCAGGGTTTTTTAAAAATCAGAAAAGTTATTGGGAAAATAGACTCTGGCTGACAGGATCCTGGCATGCTGTTTCTGCCTTCTGTTTATAAGGATGAAAGATCACACTTAGCATTGGATACACTAGCCAAAGTTTGCTACTCTGTATGGTTAGGGGAAAGCAGTGCAAAAGCTACCAGAATTAGTTGAAGTAAAATGAACTTTCGTTTTGGCG